AACAAAAACTTCAACATAGGAAAATAACTAAAAAAATTATGTAGGAATATTATATACCAAAATGCTCAGAAAAATAGCAGCAATAAGATGCATTATTTTTCAAGTTCAACTAAATTCCATAAAAATTCATAAAAGTCAAACAGTGCTACTATTACATTTAAAATCAATAAAAATCGTTTTTAAAATAGCAAAATGATTTCAAATATATTTTCTCCTAATTTTCTATTGAAGGGAATCATTTTACCCTTATTTCCATCTATTTATTTTTAGGAGAAAAATAATTTGAATTAAAACTAAATAACTCCCAAGAGGATTTGAAATTTGGAATTTCAAACAACTTCAAATGGAAAAATGAGTTTCAAATAACTTTAAAGTGTCTTCAAATTATTCCTTTGAAACTTCCAACTCTCTTCCTTTGATTTGAAGAAGTCATTTTATCTTCCCTCATGAACTCATTGAATTGCTTAGAGCATCTTCGGCCGCGCACCCAACATGCCCCCCAGGCCACTTTTTCACCGCCGGCACCAAAAAAATTCCCCACTCGCGCCCCCAGGACGCCGAAAATCGCCGGTTCGGTCCTTTTTTCCGCTCGGCGGTCACAGGCCGAACCCGACACACTGGGGGCAATTGGGAGCTCCGGCGCAAGGGAAAAGCGCGGCTGGCCCACACCGGCAGGGGAAAAGTAAAGGTTTTCTTCCCCGACTCGCCTCCCACCCCCGCGCCCTCGGCCGCCACTAGCTATATCTCGGCGCCGCCCGCCGCCCTTCACCACTAGATAGCCATTCCCCGCTGAAAAAATAGCAGAGCTTCGCCGCGGCAGCCCCTCCAATAGCAGCTGGGCGTTTCCGGCCGCGGAGGGGCAGTTTAGCGGCGGGTACACGCCCACCGGGCGCAAGGTGTTCGGCGATTTGCCTGCCTCGGTGATGGACTCGGATGACGAGGAAGCGCTCGCCGCGCTGCTGGAGGAGGAAGCCGAGGCCAACGTCCAGGAAGAAGAGCATCTCATGTTGCTCGCCGCCCTCGCCCAGCTGCTGGCGAGCAATGAAAAGCCGCAGCGAGGTGGCTCGGCGCCGGGGCGGGTGAAAGCAATGAACCGGCATTGTCTTGAAGGCTACTGCATGCTCTACTCCGACTACTTCGCCGATGCTCCACTTCACGGCGAGAAAACATTTCGGCGCCGTTATCGGATCAGCCGGAAGCTCTTCCTCAGGATTGTGAATTCCATCCGATAGTTCGACAAATACTTCAAGTGCAAGATGGATTGCACCGGCGCCCTTGGATTAACCTCCATTCAGAAGTGCATGACAGCGATGAGGATGCTTGCATACGGAGCTCCCGGTGATTCACCCAACGACTATGGGCGCATGGCTGAGTCCACCAGCATAGAGTGTTTCTACAAGTTCTTTCGGATAGTGGTGGCCGTGTTTGGACAGCAATACTTGAGAACACCCAATGCGGAAGACACTTCTCGGATCCTAGCACAGAATGCAGCAAGAGGATTTCCTGGGATGCTTGGAAGAGTCGACTGCATGCATTGGAAATGGAAGAATTGCCCATTTGCTTGGCAGGGGATGTACAAAGGCGCCAAAGACGGTTGCAGTGTGGTACTTGAGGCGGTGGCCACACAGGACCTCTGGATTTGGCACTCCTTCTTTGGTATGCTAGGAACTCATAATGACATCAACGTGCTGCAGTGCTCTCCTATCTTTGCCAAGCTTGTTGACGGTCATTCTCCTCCGGTGAACTTCAAGATCAATGGGCGGCACTACAACAAGAGGTACTATCTAGCTGATGGCATCTATCCAAGATGGTCGACATTTGTGAAGACGATCTCAAACCCTGTGCCAAGAGGCAAGAACGCCTGGTTTGCGAAGGTTCAGGAGGCTTGCAGGAAGGATGTCGAGAGGGCATTTGGTGTGCTCCAATCTCGATTTGCTGTTGTCCGGTACCCCGCTCAGACCTGGTCGAAAGATCAAATGTGGGAGATTATGACTTTTTGTGTCATCTTGCACAACATGATCATCGAGAGCAAGCAAGAAGACCCAGTGTTTGACACTGAACCATACTACAGGTAGGGTCCTCTAGCCGAAGTTGATCACCAGCTAACGGCAACCTGGACTGCCTATCTCAGTATGTGTCAGGAGATCCGAGACCCACAGGTGCATCATCAAGTGCAGCAAGATCTGATAGAGCATCTATGGAGGCTCAAGGGCGATGTCGGGCGCGACGTGTGATGCAATATGAGTTTTTATTTGTTCAACTATATAAATTGTATTGAACTATTTGTTGTTGTACTATTTTGTTGAAGTATTTGATATTTCTGTGATGAAATATGTGATAAAAAAATTTATGTGCATAATTGAACGCCGAACAACGGCAAACCACGCCGAATATGGGCCTATTGTCGCCCATATGGGCCCTTTATTCGCCGAAATGGGATAAGTGGGCCAATATCGATGCCTGGGGCGAGCTGGGGGCGACGACTAGGCGCGAAACCGCTCCCAGCGCCGATTGTATCGTCGGCTCACCCCCAGGGGGCGATTTTTATTCGTCCTGGGGGGGCGAACGGCTGGAGATGCTCTTAAAGTTTCTAAATTCGAAATGTTTCAAATGGAATTCAAATCATTTTCAAACCCCTTTTTTCATTTCTTGAAATGGAAGAAGTCATATTATCTTCACTCTAGGGTTTTGTGATGAAATGAATTTGAATTCAGGAAGATCAAAATGCAAGATGAAAAGTTTCGAGAAAGTCCTTTTATTCCCTCTCATTCAACTTTCAAAAAGTTTTCAATTTCCAATCATTTTCACACAATCAATCACACAACAAACAAACAATCATAATTAATTATTTAATATAACATTCCAAAATTTAGAATTTTGGGATGTTACATTTGCACTTCTTTCTAGGCATTGATGTTAAGAAGACTCAAGATGGCATAGTACTAAAACAAGAGAAATATGTTACTGAGCTTCTATGTCGTATGGGGATGAAAAACTGCAAGCCTGTACCTACAC